TAGATTAAAATAAGCTAATTAAAGAGTTGGCCTTAATTACAATTTAGCCACCACTAGTGGCCTATTTCTCCAACACATTGAGCCTTTATTTCACAACATTTCTTTAGCCACTTTTGAGTCCATAGCCGACTAGAGAGATAGAGAGTGAGAGAATTGAGTTCAATTGAAGGTTTTGGCTTAGAGACTTGGAAGAATTGAAGAGGCCTTGTAAAATTTAAGCTCCTAGACTTGGAATTCAAGGTTTAAGGTAGGATATTCATCCTTTAGTTTGTGAATTCAAGCTTTATTGTGCATGATCCATGAGAGGTTAGAGAATTAAGTCTAGAATTGGTTTAAAGTGTTGAAATTGGAGCTAATCCATGCATGCATGTGCATATCATGAGGTTTCAAGTTGTTTTCATGGAAATTCTTGCATGCATGTCTACATTATTGTTTTAATCCATGAGTTCATCTTGTTTTTTAAGCAATTGACTCATTAGAGCAAGTGTTTGAAGCCTTGAAGTTGATCAAATTCATGCATGTTACATGTTCATCTTGCTCATGACATTTGGTTTGAAATTGTGTTTAAATGAACTACCTTTGGGCTTTGATTTCTCAAATTGGTCTTTGAAACATGTCATATTATGAGTTTTGAAGTGTTTTCCAAAAAATTAGTCCAAAAGGATTGAATTTGATGCTTTAAAACTTGATTTGGAGCTTGAGGTTCAAATCTGGAAATTTCAGATTTTGAACTCACGCTTGAGCGGTGTGACTGGCGCTCGAGCATGAAATACGTGTTCCCAGCACTTTTGTCTGTTTTGTCGTCCGCTCGAGCGGGGCCTTGTGTCTTACGCTCGAGCGGGTGTCGAGCACCCATCGAGCGTGATTTTTGAGCATTCAGCACTTTTGCCATGTTTTGCAGTACGCTCGAGCAGAAGGAATCACGTTCGAGCGGAGCTCCTTTGTTTGCATGCCCGCTCGAGTGGGGAAGGCCACGCTGGAGCGGGGACCTCATTTTTAGAAATTTTGGCTAAGTGTTTCAAGGCATGTTTTGGCATCCTCATTACATCTTAGGCATTCCTAAGCCTTAATTAAGCCATAGTAATGAGGTTATGGATTAGAAACACACTAAAGAAAGAATGCACTAAGTTTCGAGACTGTAAGTGTGTGTGTGTGAGTTAAGTAATGTGCTAAGAACGATCATGAATCAACATAATGAAAGCTAAGCCGCGTTGGCCACTTGAATGTGTAATGATAAGACATGCTTGTGCTATGTGTTTTGTGATTGTAGGTCAACAACTGGGGATTGATTGACCGCCTACTGGAACCACTGTGAGTAACGTTATCGTAAAGATACGTTCATATGAATTATATTCCAAATGAAATGTGATAAATTATGATTTCTGATATGATATCTGTTTACGTGAACGAACATCCAAAGTTTGAAATCTATTATGGCATCCATAGATAGTCCCAAGTCATGGGAGACGGCATGAAAATGCTGGTCCATGACATACAAGTAATTACGAGATCTCGTTAGCCATTTCATTGTGGTGATATGTGTTTAATCAGTATCTGGAACCGATTACTCTAGTCGGAAGACGTTCTGTTCTGTTCTGTAATATGTTCTATGGGATGTACCATTATTATGTTCTGATATGACACTGATTATGCTATGATCTGTTCTGTACTTATGATATGTTCAGGGTTCGTTCACTAACCCTTTTACCTTAATGTTATTCACTGGGCTTTAGCTCAATATTTGTATATATGTATATAGGTGAGCATTCTGGAGTTCGAGCCCGAAGGTTTTGTAGAGGAACTGTGTTCTGTTGTCAACCAACTATCGCGCCTCACGAGGAGGTTCCCGAATTGTCTTGTGTTTAAATTCTGGCGGTTCTGTATGTATGGAACTTGTTTATCTTGTTGACTGTACTTCAGATATTATGTGTGTGGGTATAACGTATGTATGACTGAATGTATATATAAAGGCCTCGTTTGGGAACAGACTAATTTAGTAACTTTTTGGCTAATTGGCTAAAAAGGTAGGTAAAAAAAACTTGTATGTTTGGGATGACTTTTTGGCTAATTACGAAAAGATGTGCAAAAAGTAGAGAGAAAAGAGAATCTTTGACTTTTTGGTATGGGTTGTTGGCTTTTTGGCTAATTTAGTAACTTTTTGGCTAATTGGCTAAAATAGCCTCTTGCCAAACGAGGCCAAAGTTTTAATTGTTCTGTTTCATATAAGTCAGCACAGCTCATTGGACAATTATATATATGTATTTGCTTCCGCTAGCCCCGTAATTTTGTTAATCTATTCAAAGGCCTTCGGTAATCCAAGGATTACTGGCCGGTTATGATGCTAAACCTATTGAGGCGGGTTTGGGTCGTGACAATCTAGACTCAAAAAGGTTGGCAGGATTGACCAACACTTTTTCATTCTTCAGTCGAGATAAGGATCTAGGCTCAAGAAGGTTGGCAGGATTAACCAACACTTTTTCATTCTTCAGCTGAGATAAGGATCTAGGCTCAAGAAGGTTGGCAGGATTGACCAAAACTTTTTCATTCTTCAGCCAAGATGAGCATCTAGGCTCAAGAAGATTGGCAGGATTGACCAACACTTTGCAATCTGTAGCCGGGATAAGTATCTCGGCCAAACAAGAAAAGGGGGGCAAGAAATGGTACACTACAATAAAGGAAAAGCGCCGTGACCGAGCAAGAAATACAAGAGCAAGAAATAAAAAAAAAAAAAAATCATTAATTGAAAGGTGATTACAAGAGGTGGGCCATATAGCCCGGTTACACAGAAAGAACACCTTCTCGTACGATTGCAACCTCGAAGGATATAAATGTTGAAGGCAAAAAGGTGAGGTTGTTCAAATTTTTGAAGGAACATGACGGTTGTAACAGGAGAACAAGGATAATGGGGGCATGCAACGTATCCTAGGAATGATGTGTGTTAGAACGTACTACGCAACTGACAAGACTTATTGAGGCCGAACGAGTTCTGAAACCGAACAACTTTTCTAGCTCGGTAGAGTTGGGCGTTCTTAGCTCGGTTGCAACTTTTCTAGCTCGATAGAGTTAGGCATTCTTAGCTTGGCTGGACAAAAATAATCCCAAACATGCTACGCAGATGGGATTAAGGGCAATTGAAAGGGTAATTTTTGAACAAATTGGGCCAAGCTAGAAAAAGTCTTCTTTGGAAGTTAGGCCGCGCAATGGGCCGAGATAAAAGCTGATGTAGCTCGATCTTGGGCTAAGAAGACACTAGGTCGGCCAGAGATGTGTTGCCAAGGCCTGGACCTAGCTATCTAAAGGTAGTCCTTTATCGGACCGAGATGTTGTCAATAAAGAAGGCCGAGCTTTGTGTAGCTCGGCAGGGTGCAATTCGGTAAATCGGCTTTCAGTCACACGGCCCGAACTACAGGGGACCGAGATAAGGCAGCTGTATATCCAAGCATAAAGGAATGGCCATCTCACTTGACTTGCCGTGATGAGGGTGTTCTAAGGATAAGTATTATCCTTGGTCATGAGACTCCTAGGAGAACTCTGCTAAGGAGAGTTAGAATCCTATTAGGATTGTGCAAACCATCTTATTTGGATTGTGCAAACCATCTTATTTGGATGGTAGTGAGTAAAGTGTTATCAGGATAGACACTCTTCACTGGAAATGTGATTCCTAGGAGGACTCTTATAAAGAGAGTTGGAGTCCTACTAGGATTATACCAAGCAGAATCTATAAAAGCTCATAGCAGAATCTATGTATAGGTATCCCAATTCTCTCTCTAAAATACTGAGAGCCTATAGTCTATTTGCTGACTTAGGCATCGGAGAGGTATTCGACACATAATCGCCGGCTAGCTTTCGTTTGTGTTTTCAAGTAGTAAAGCGACGACGTTTGGAAGAGTGCAAACTTGATCAACATGATTATACGAGAAGATTATTTCGTACTCGTACATATAATATAACAATATTAAGGATTTAAAAAAAATTTAGACACACATGACTATTATGTAAATTTCTTGATAATTTTTGAGATGCCTACCAGGGCTGTTTGCAGGCCAGTTTTCACTTGATCCGCTTTGGTGTGGGTCATGAAAAGTGGACCTAGAGCTATCTAATTTGTGGGTTGTGGTTTTTGTCGGTGAGTTAATTGATTATGCAGGTGGGCGCGGATTGGTTGAACAGGTTCGGCTTGTACTTTTTTCATGTTTTTTGAGACTCATTTACTATCATATATTCTGTTTTAATAGGACAAAACATACATATATATAATATTATAATATTATTTGATGGGTTGAATATTTGCATAAAAAAAAAAATAGAGTCAACATCAATATGAATATACATCTATATATTACATGCTTTGCTGTTGCGTTGGGCTATTACTGCTTTAGCGAGAGAGAAAAAGAGCAAGAGATGAGAAAAGAATGAAAAATGACTCTTGAACTGCTTTACTACTGTGTTGCTTGTGCTAAGGTAAGAACAAACAAAATAAAAGTGACTCTTGGCCCTTTGCTTGCAATAGGATAAAAATTACACCCGCATCCGTCCATACGTAATTCTCGAAACTACCTAAAAACATAAGGTAAGATCGGACGGTTTGTGTGAGTCGATTAACACTAGAGGTACTTACGTGTAAGTCCTAATAAGTGGACTTATTGTCTAATAAGTCTTATGAAAGAAAAATTCATAAAAAAGCCACTAGTTATAAGTTTTAGCGACAATTTATAAAAATCATGATTAAAAAAAGTCACTAGTTGTTAATTTTTAACGACGTATGTAAAAAATTGTCACAAAAAATTTATTTTTAACGACAATTTTATTAAAATTTATTTTCAGTAAGACTTGATAAAAATTAACTCCACCTATTAGGTTACCGTTATGACTATACGCTTTTGTAATATAGTAATAATATTATTGATTAAAATAATAGACAAACAAATAAAAGATGAACTTGTGGAAGGAGATAACTACGAGTCAACTGTGGGGTTTTTTTTTTTTATTTGATCCCAATTCCTCTTGCAAATACCCTTTTCTTTTCAGCTCTCTTTCTCTCACTAAACCCACAGTTTTTTCCACAAACACACACACACAACCAACCCATCTCTCATCTCTCTCTTCCCATCTCTCTCTCTCTCTCTCTCTCTCTCTCTCGAGTCTTAAGAGTGTGTTGTTTGTGCCAGTGGCTATACAAGCTATGGACAAACGTCCCCGGAATCAAGCCAAGACCACCACTAGTAGTACCACTTCTGAAGGTAACTCTACTTATTCTAATCATCCCCTCTCTCTCCAATCACATAATCAAACACAAAATATAAATAATGAACAAAATTTTACGAAATTTGTTAATGGGATCTAATTTTCAGAAACCTAATCCGTTTATATATATCGTGTATTCATATATGTTATGTGTCCGTACATATATATTCTATATTTATATATATTATGTGTTAAGATTGTGATTGGTTTCTCTGTTCTTAAATTTTTTCATATTCTTTTTTCCCATTTTTCTTCTTCCTCTTATATAAACACTGTGTCTTCTAGAATTCAATTGATCAGTTCTTTAGTGGAATCTTTCCTTGGTGTCCTTGCTTGGTTCCCTAGAAAAAGGCTCTTAAAGAATATTTTTATTGTTATTGTTATTGATTGTTGTTGTGCAGAAGTAAGTAGCATAGAGTGGGAGTTCATAAAAATGACTTCACAAGAGGAAGATATCATCAACAGGATGTACAGACTAGTTGGAGACAGGTATGAGAAATTTTTTTCCACACCCACGATGAGTTATTGGTTGGTTTTGGGCACAGTCACGGTGATGTCCCACGTGTTCTAATTGATAGATATGGTAAGATTTACGATTTTATATTAAATGATTAAAAAATATGAGGGGTATAAGAATTTGTGATTGGTTAAGAATATGATCTCGTAGTGTCTCTAGATCAATCAATAATTTTTTCACATTTACACCATTTCAAACTAACTAGTGTTTTAGTTAAGATATTAATCGGTCAACATGTATTAAAATTTTAAAATTTTGATATCAATATTTATCACATATTGATCGGTACTGATTAATCTTATAATTTAAAATTATTAATTATCTAGAAGATTGCACAAAATAGATTATACTATAGGGATAAAATTACCAAGAGATGGGGTTGTTGAAGAGGGTTTTTTTTTTTTGAATGATACAAAAGTGCTCACAATGAGCAAGGCCATGTGTTGTGTTTCCTCTATCTCACTCACACTAGCACAGGTAGGTTCGTGCAATATGTACATGTGTGTATATAGAGTTATTTTGACAATATAGTTAAAAGTTAATTTTTTGATTTTTTTTTTTTCAAATGTGTAAAATTTATAAGAGGTGATATAATTTAAAATGGATTAAAAGTTGGAAATCATCTTTCTAAAATAACCCATGTGCATGATGTTGTATATATATATACATATATACTTATGTGTCAATAATAACCAATTCAGGGATTATTTGAAATGTCATAAATAAGTGTACTTTTTGATTTTTTGGACTAAAAATTTGAGGAAAAAAATATGGTTGTTTGGAATAACCTTTTAACTTTTTATGAAAAAATATATATTAAAAAATTATATAAATTTGTGTATAGAAGAAAATTGTGATGGAATAGGCCGTACGGTTGGAAGACGCAAGGGCCAGTGTGGGTAGAGTGTAGGATAGGAGATGATTCCCTCCTCTTCGGGCATTAAATTGGATGGTACTGTTTGGCCCTTGGGGGTCCACCACAGTTTTCGTTTTGCTAATCGGAACCATTCAATGTGTAGAACTCGTCGAGTACTATATATTTGTAAAAAATCACGTTGATCGAATATCGATAGCTATCTAATCGGATTAGTTTTTTTCAACCGTCAACTATAACACAATCCATTTTTTTTACACAAAACTGATTTGATCATATAGTTAGCGATATCTAATCAATGTGATTTTTTACAAGCATATAGTACTCGACGAGTTATACATATTAAACGGTTCAGATTATCAAAACGGGACCCGTGATGGCCCCCATGAGCCGAACAACACTGTCCTTAAGTTTGCCACCGCCTGTGTAATTTGTCTTCACCAAAGTCAGGCAAAAGACAACTCACGTCAGAGTGAGTTGTCTCACAATTTGTATAAAAATAATTTTTTTTTTTCGATATACTTAAAAATAATAATAATAATAATTTTTTTTTAATAAATAGTGATAATCTTTGAACTTTTTATCTCATTTTGAAGATGCCAAACCGGGCTTGAATGATAGCAAGCAAAAAGGTTAGTGCAGTTATGGGTCAACAATATTTGGCCTAGAATACTAATATATGATTCAAATTAAATTGGGTAAATTATACAAATAGTTTTTATAGTTTACATGATATGTCAATTTAGTTTTTGTTATTTTAATTTGTTCAATTTTGTCCGTTAATTTAACGAATTTCAATAAATAACAATTATTAAGTTTGGTGGATGGAAAGTCTACATAATGTGTCAATTTGGTTTTTGTAATTTACACAATGTGTCAATTTAGTCCTTGTCAAAATTGAGCAAATTAAAACAACATGGTCTAAATTAACACATTGTGTAAATTACATTGACCAAATTGACACATTGTGTAGACTGTCCGTCTACCAAACTTAACAACTACTATTTATTAGATAAAAATAACACAATATATTAAATTAAAAAGTAAAATCAAATAAATTTAAATAACAGAAACTAAATTAACATATTATATAAATGGGCGCTGATTGAGGGCCCGAGGCTTCGGGGCTCGAATGCCCCGAAATGCCATTTTAGGTAAAAAAAAAAAAAAAAAAAAAAGAAAAAAAAAAAAGGAAAAAAGAAAGAAAAAAAAAACAGTTTCCAAAAATGGAAATTAGGGGTATTAGGGCCAACTTTTTTAGGGCCACCAATCATTTTCCTATATAAATTCCATGGACCAGTTACATAATTTACCCAATTAAATTTCAATAATGATGCGGTATTTGGTAGGGTACGTACAATTCATTTTCATTATGGAGTAATTATTGGGTCCTTGGGTACTGTCGGCATGATGTCTATTTAAGAAAAATAATAGAAGAGATACTAAAACCACTATTATAAAAATAGTTAAAGATTATATTTTGATAAAAAAATATCTTATTTTTATTAGAAGTATAATAAAAAAAATTAGATTGATATTTTAATCACACTTAATTTGATTGAGTGTGATAATATTTATTTTTTATGTCACTTTTCAATTAAGTGTGATTATATATACACTATTACTTTTTAATCACACTTTTTAAATAAGTGTGATTAGATATATATTTTTTAATCACATATTCTAATTAAAGTGTGATTATTTATATATTTTTTAATCACCACCTTCTAATTAAAGTGTGATTATATATACACTACTACTTTTTAATCACACTTGTTAAATAAGTGTGATTATATATATATATTTTAATCACATATTCTAATTAAAGTGTGATTATTTATATATTTTTTAATCACACCTTCTAATTTGTGATTATATATACATTACTACTTTTTAATCACACTCCACTACAAAAAAAAGTATCTTTGGCGACTAAAAAAGCATTAGTAGCTAAAAGTAAAGATTTTTTGCGGCAAAAAAAATTTAGTAGCCAAAAGTATAGGTTTTGGCGACTAAAAATCTATTTGGTTGCCATATATGGCTTTTACCGACTAAAAAATTTTAGTAGCCAAAAGTAAGATTTTTTGGCGACTAAAAAAAATTAATAGCCAAAAGTGAGATATTGGGTGACTAAAAAGATGTTTGGTCGCCAAAAGTGAGGGTTTTACCGACTAAAAAAATTTTAGTAGTCAAAAGTGAGATTTCTTGGCTACTAAAAAAAATTTAATAGCCAAAGCTGAGGCATTGGGAGACTAAAAAGATGTTTAGTAGCCAAAAGTGAGACTTTTTGGCAACTAAAAAGAAGTTTAGTTGCCAAAAGTAGTAATTTTAGCCCGGGAATTAAATTTTTTAACGACTAAAAAATAATTAGTAGCCAAAAGTATAGAATTGGTGACTACAATTATGTTTAGTCGCCAAAAGTGGTTTCTTTTTTTTCTAGTAAATAATTTATTTTTACATAAATTATGTTCAATAAAAAATAATTATCTTTATATATATACTTTTATAATACGAGTCTATGTACTATATAAATAATATATGTTGCATATATAATCATATGGTGTTATAGAGGTGTAGTGAAAAGAGTGCCTTGTATAAGGTTTATGGTGTGAGAGGGTTGATGGTTTGAATCTACACAAGAGCAAATGAGAAGGTAGTGAGTGTAATACATATTTTTTAACATCTAAATATTTTTAATCACACTTAAAATGTGTAATCTAAATGTGATCTAAATATTTTTAATCACACTTAAAAGGTGTGATCTAAATACTATTAATCACACTTAAAATGTGTGATCTAAATGTTATTAATCACACTTAAAAGGTGTGATTAAAAATGACCCATTTTTATTACACTCTCAAAGATCACATTTTAATAAAACTTAAAAGGTGTGATTAAATAATATACATTACACAAAAAAAATATGATCTTTATCTATTTTTACAGTAATAAATTTTTTACTAAATAAATGATTAAATGTCGCATATAAACGTAGAATTTGTAATTTTGTGAACCTTATATTCATATAAGATATTTGTTCATTTATTTATTAAAAAATTTTAGGTCGATGACATTTTCTATTTAAGAAGCAATCTTTTCTTTACTCATTTTTTGGACTGAGGGCTTTAAGTTTGTTTTGGCGGTTTTGATTGTTTAATCACAAATATTTGGTAGCTTTAAAATAAAGTTTATGGATGAAGTCGATTCATTGATGTGACATATGTGTTGTAGTTTTTTTTTATTTTTTTTTATTTTTCTTTTATTACCATGTAAGTAGACCTCAATGTAGAGTTCTACTTGTAAAGCTCTCCATTACTTCCGTTCTTTAATTTATAGAATTCATTAAACTAATTATTAATATAAAATTAAATTACTTAAATATTAATAATTACATAATTTATTTATTTTTGTATGAAAAATTGAATTATTTATTTTAAAAATTATACTTTTCTCTTATCTTTCTTTCTTCTTTTTTTTTTTTAATTTTAAAAATGTGAACCGATTAGGTAATTGTTGGTATCCAATTAATTTAATTTTTTCATTGATGATTTGCTATAAAAACTTACAAATAAAACTTACAATTTAAATGGTTTGAATAACTACGACAGGTCTAAAATGGGTCCACAGTCATGGAAAACATAAATTAATATGAGATGTGATGGTAAAAAAATAATATAAATTTATTTAATTTAATTAAACATACAACAATTACAATTGCAAACAAAGATTCACATAGTTAATTTTACCTTATTATATTTTGAGTAAAATTTTGTTCTTCATTGAAACATAAAACTTAAATTGATTTGGATTGATTTTGCAATTACATAGGTAGATATAGCCTGTGTTTGGCAAGGGCTTTTTCAGGCTTTTTTGGCTATTTTAGCCACAAAAAACAAAATAGGCTATTTTAGCCATAACAAACAAAACATCATATCCAACCTATAATCATTACATTCTTCTCTCACAAAAAAAGTCAAAAAAGCCAAAAAGCCAAAAAGCCCTTCCCAAACCAAGCTTTTTAGCCCAAGCTAAAATAGCCAAAAAAGTCAAAAAGCCAAAAAGCCAACCCACTTCCCAAACGGAGGCATATATATATTTTGAATTGGTGATAAAGAGATTTGTTGATGTATTTTATATGAGTACAAAAAAGAATATATTACAAATACGTCAATAAAAAGGCCTACATGGAATGCAACTATTTTGGGAGCCACATTGCAAACTAATCAACAAAAACACTAGCAAAATCGAAAAAACAAAGCCTGAGATGGTCAAAAGGCTCTTCTTCTCTTTTTCTTTTTTTTTTCTTTTTCTCTTTTTTTTCTTTTTTGGAGGGGGTGTAAAATTTTATACAAATGGTCTCTATAGTTTACACGACATATCAATTTAGTCTATACTATTTTAATTTGCTCGATTTTATCTTTTAATTTAACAAATTGTGTCATATTGGTTCAATAAATAACGGCCGTTAGGTTTGGTGGACGAAAATTCAAATAATGTGTCAATTTGGTCTTTATAGTTTACATGATGTGTCAATTTACTCCCTATCAAAATTGAGCAAATTAAAACAACAGGAACCAAATTGGCACTTCATATAAATTACAATGACCAAATTGATGCATTGTTTGAGCACTTGACAACTTTTCGTCCACCAAATCTAACGACCGTGACCAATATGACATAATCCGTTAAATTAAGGAACAAAATTGGACAAATTAAAATAACAATGATTAAATTGACACATCATATAAATTATAGGGGCCATTTGTATAATTTATTTATCTATTTTTGTTGGTAAAAAGGCTTTTTAAAGAGGAAAATATGCATTCCAAACATGTATCATGAAATTTATTATAAAAATGAAATAAGAAGTGTGGATTCAATTTATTGTTGTTTGAGTTATTCTTAATATAAATGTGATCCACATGTTCTATTTTCTTGATACTTTTTTTTTTGTAATAAATATTATATTGGAAAGATAGTTAAAAATTGATTTTTGACTTTTAATCAAGTTTTTTGACTTTTTCATAAAGTCATTTGAGAAGTTATTAAAGCTATTTTTTAGCTTTTTTACTTGATATTTATTTATACTGTTACATCATAATCAAATGACCAAAATACACTCACTCATTTTAGAAAATAACCACTCAACAATGTGGCTATTTTGACTTTTTTAGCCCCTAGCTACAAAACGTAACTTTTTTTCTTTTGTTCCCAAAACACCCTACATGTTTTTTGCAAAAAATATTAGAAACCTCCACCCTCTTTTGTTATTTATTTTTGATGTGGGATTTTTATAAGTTTTTATAAAGCTCTTACTTTCTCTCGTAAATTCCTCATTTACACCAAACTAAAAAATTAACAAAACCAAAACGTTAGATTATTCAACCACCAAAATCAAAAGGTTGAGTTCGGTGTTAAATTCTCTCAACCTTATAGAATCGATTACCTTAAGAGATCTGCCCTATTTTTTGTTTATCATAATTATTTATTTTTTTTAGATAGGGTGTATCATAATTATTAGACTCTGAAAAAGTACCAATTTTTTTTTTTTTTTTTTTGGTTTTAAATTAATGGAAATGCAATGAATGAATTATCCAAAACACAGGTGGGATTTAATAGCAGGTCGAGTTCCAGGGCGTAAAGCAGAAGAAATAGAGAGGTTTTGGATAATGAGACATGCCAAAAACAAGCCACCATAGTCCTCTCCAACAAACTTCATCACAGCTTTTACTTATTTCTTTTTTTCCTTTTTTTCCCCTTCATTAGTTGCTTTAGTTTCTTATTGTATCAAATTTAATTACTCAATTTATAAACTTTGTCCAAATATTTGAAGCTTGCTATATATATATATATATATGAAACTTATTTTCTAATTCTAGTTTTGGGTTATCTCCCTTTTTGTCTATTTTGTGTGTTCCACTTATTATTTTGTTTTATTTTTCATTTTTGAATGGATTTCTTTCAAGTGGTGATTTCTATGTTGTCCTTTCTCTTAAAAAAACAAAACAAGCATCATTATATATTTTTTCAATCTTCTAAACTTATTGTGAAGCTCTTGAATTATTAGCGAAAGAGATAAGATTAGATCTGTCTATGAAATTCATGTCTTTATATCTCAATGCATTTTTAGTCATATTAGTTTGAAATTTTCAACACGTTAGGATGTTGAAGTGTCGTTGGTAACGGGGAGAAATAAATTTTGAGTTGAAAAGCAAGTTTCCAAAATTTATTATTCGTATATATTACTTTTGGTAAAGGTGCAGTCACATATAATGAGAAAATTGGCATGCCTTTACCATAGCTTTTGGGCTCCTTTTGTGCAGTGTGCAAAAGCGGAGGTGCATTGAAAAAATACCAACTCTTTTTTATGTTACCTAACTCATCAGCCCGGAGTCTCGACCAAAAACAAAAACAATGATAGTGTCACATAATAGATCAAATAATGCACAGATTTTTTGTTTCAACATGTAATATAAATTTATTGGTGAATTACATTAATGGTCTCTATAGTTTGGGGCTTGTGTCACTGTGATTTCTAATCTTTCAATTGTGATATATTTGACCTCGAATTTTAAATCTCTTTCTAAATAAGGGTAATTTCAAGGATAAATTCATCAATTTGATAAAATATAAACTAGCTTGACAAAAATAAATGTCAAAAAATTATTTTTAAAATATAAAAAAATATTCCTACTCGCCAAAGATAAAATTATATAAAAATTATAAATCTTTTACTTTTTTTATTTTTTTATCAAATTAATTTTTAGTATATGTTTAGATGAAGATCATATAATGTGTGGTTATTCTTGTTGATATTTTTGGATAGTTATAATGTAATAGATGATTGTATTTGCTATTAACAAATATTTTTGAATAGTTATTAGGCTTTTAATGCATAATCGATATGTTTAATATATGAAATGTTTTTTGTTTTGAATTTTTTGATTTAATGAATTGGTTTAATAAGGATATCAAAATTGTCGTACTTTTGAAAAAATAAAAAATAATTTAACAAAAATAAATAGAAAAAAAATTATTTCAACCCTAAAAGATAAAATTATATTAAAATGATGTGTTTTTTTATTTTTTTCACCAATTTAAATTTTTTTTTTCTAAAAATAGATTCTGAAAATCAAACCAAACCAAACAAAACTTTATAACTACAAAAGTTCCAACATTATTCATTAAAAAAATACCATTATATTTTAAACAAAATATAAGTTCATTAATACAAAATAAGTTGTATGATGATTTTGCTCTTCAAATGAAGCAACAATATCTTCAATTATTCTTGTGGGGATATATTTTCTGAGTACCAACACGTGGCCAAGGTGACGCCGACGTGTCAGCCGAGATGCCACGTGTCCTGGTCATGACGCCGAGGTGATCTCGACTAGGCTGAGGTTGTCTCCGAAGATATTGAAATCCAGGATAAGCGGATAAGGGACAAGAGTCCTAGAATGAGGAAGGGACTCAGCCTGGAAAAGGATAAAACTCTTAGGGAGTTTATATTTATCTATTGAAGAGTCCAGGATACATATTGAGCTAAAGTCCATTGAAGCAGGGCTTCTATTGGGACTATGATTGAGTTAACTATAAAAGAGAGACACCCTCATGAGTCTAAGGTACGCAATTTATATATAGAATAGTGAGTTAAGCACTATTGATTATCTTTGAGAAATATTTGATTACTGACTTAATCATCGGAGGGCCTCCGGGTGGACGAACTACCACCGAAATCTCTTCTTTCTGTTGCAGGTCGTTCGGGCTTATCCTATTATGCCAGTGTTCTCCAGCTGAATACTGAGTTGGCAGTGTGGTCGGAAATTCACTCACACAATTTGGTGCCGTCTGTGGGAACAAAGAAGAATAGATGGCCAACGACGGACAGAAAGAAAAGATTGGGGATAACACTCCAACTGGGAGTGGGAGACCTATTGACCTTGATGTCGAAGAGGACAATTATAATGAAGAAACTCGTGACCAAAATCACGGAGTAAAAGACATCGGCCAGGAAGGTGACATCCCAAAGAAAACAGACCAAAACGGGTACTATAACAAAGATAACCTCCAGGTATGGAAAGAAAGATGCCTGCGGAGGGACGATGAGGTAAAGACCATGGCGAACAAATTGGCGGACCTACAAACAATGGTCAATTTCATGATGCAAAATAACGTCATGCAGCCACCGTTCCCGCTGCAGGACACACCAATTCCAGCGGCCAATACCTAGAAGGGAGGGCAGAAAACAATCCCTGTAGCCCCCCAGCACGCCAGGAGCGAAAGACACTCTCACCGGCCTTCAAGGGAGGTCGGGCGAGGAGAGCCAAGAGGGAAAGAATCTCGAAGGACACATCGCACCAAGGAGGCAGACCCCAGAGAACATCGGCATGTTCAAAGGTAGGAGTTATGCTTCGATGTGACCAATGGAGAAAGATCAAAAAGGGCTCACAAGGAAGCTGAAAGCAGTGCACTTAAGAGACTGAAATCAGGAGATAGCCGAGCTCCTGGGCGGACCAAAGAGGACTTGAGAGATTACCTCAAGAGGAAGCAAGAGCATGCCGAGGTAACTTCAACAATTAAACAGAGAACACCATTCTCGGTAGAGTTGGACAAAGTTGAGGCCCCGAAAAGATTCAGTATGCCGAGGTTCTAGATATACGATGGTAAGTCGGATCCTAACTTTCACGTCGGATTATATCTGAACTCGATGGCACTGTACACTGGGAACGAGCCGTTGCTCTGCAAGGTGTTCCCCTCATCCTTCGGGGAGATTGCATCGGACTAGTTTCACAAATTGCCGAAAGGAAGTGTGAAGACCTAGAAAAGTCTAGCCGAGATGTTCGTGGCCAGGTTCGTGACGAACAAACTGCAGCCATTAAGGGTGGATGCCCTGATGGCTCTGAGGATCAATGAGGATGAAGGCCTTAGGGCCTACGCAAAAAGGTATTATGAGGTGTTCAACCGAATACCCGAATGCAACCAAGAGGTAGCGGTCGTGTCTTTCAAGAATGGCCTGAAAGATTATTGCGCACTACGAAAGTCATTAGCAAAGACATTGCCAAAAAGCATAGAAGAGCTCATGGCCAGAATTGAGAAATACGCCAAAGCCGAGGAGGACACTCCAGGGATTAAGGCGACAAAGCAGGAGAAAGTAAACGGCTCGCCGAAGCAAGGCCGAGATAACAACGGATCCAACGAACAAGAGATAGGGCTGAGAACTGCACAGACAGTCACAACTGTATTTCAAATCCCAATCCACAAAGTCCTGGATAAAATTCGAACCCAACCTTATTTCAGAGCACCAACTAAGGTACCAGGAGAATTTATGGGAAGGAGCCTTGGCAAGCATTGTGCTTACCATAATGAAGATGGGCACCTGACTCAGGGTTGCAGAGGCTTGACGTCACACCTAGAAGACCTGGTAAGGCAAGCGTGACAACCCCCACCACTGCTTACTTATAACACTACTGATTAGTGCTAATCTATGATTAAGCATGTTAATTGACTGACTGACTGAATTATTAAACTGATTGATTGATCGTGCTAGTTTGAATGCAATTCTATCTGTTAACTGTTAAATTATCTGTTCATGTTTTATGCTTTAAACTGCAAATTGAAGGCCTTATCGGCGGTCGAATCTGAAATTAATTGATGTTTTGTGCTAATTAAGATTTATATGATTTTATGGTATATTTAATTGAAATGTGATTTGGTATGATTAAATTAGATTAAATATTGATAAATTACAAAAGTTGGCCTTATTTACAACTTTGCCACTTAGTGGCCCACTTCATATCATATTTTGAGGCTTGAATTATACATTAGATACATCATTTCCTCAGCCATTCCATAAGACCAAAACCGACTAGAGAGAGAGAGAGAGTTAGGAGAGCTTGGTTTCAACAAAGATTTGTTTGGAGACTTGAAGAGATTGTAGAGAATTTGTACAATTGAGCTTATATCCTTGAGTTTAAAGACCTAAGGTTAGAACTCATCTCCTTGGTTGTGAGTTTAAGTTATGCCTTTCATGGTCTATGTTAATTTTGAAGTTTAGAGCCAAGATATGGCTTAATGTGTTGAATTAAGAGTTTAATTCTTGCATGCATGTATATATTTTGAAGTTTTGAGGTTGTAGTTCATAAATTCCTCACATGCATGTCCATATCTTGAGTATAGTCCATGAATTCATCTTGTTATAGAAAGAATTGGCTTATTTGTTCATGTTTTGAAAGCTTGAAGTTGATTAAATTCTTGTATGTTATGTTTTACGTCATGTTCATGGAATTTGTTTGAATTTGTGTCCAATTGAACTACCTTTGGGCCTTGATTTTACAAATTGAGCTTTGAATCATGTTAAACTATGAATTTACAAGTGTTTTCTAGAAAATTGGCCCAAGAAGATCGAATTTGATGCATTAAAACTTGGTTTTGAACTTGAGGTTCAAATCTGGAAATTCCAGATTTTGGACTCCCGCTCGAGCGGGGTAAGTGGCGCTTGACCGGGAAATTCGTGTATCTAGCACTTTTGTTGTGTTTACAGTCCGCTTGAGCGGGGTTTTGCACGCTAGAGCGAGGACTTGTGTCACACGCTCGAGCGGGTGTCGAGCGCCCATCGAGCGTGATTTTCACACATCCAGTTACTTTTGCAGTCCGCTCGAGCGGGAAAGTTTAAGCTCGAGCGGAGCCTTTTGTTTGCATGTCCGCTCGAGCGGGGAAACCCACGCTCGAGCGGGACCTCTGTTTTCTGAAAATTCTGAAAATGTTTTTAAAGTGCATCTTTGCATCCTCATTCCATTCTAGGCATTCTTAGGCCTAGTTTAAAGCATCTTAATGAGGATATTAATGTAGAACCACATCGAGGCAAATTAGG